AAATTAAGTTTGCAAAGGTTTTTACAAGGTGCACTAACGATTCCAAGCATTTTAAACAGTTTTGAACATTTTAAGACACTTTAAAAATAGCAAAAACGGACATCGCTAAGTGAAACAGGGGGACCCAAACTGTCATCGCTATGCGAGGTATGGTCCCGAACATTGCTATGCGAAATTTCCCCATTGGAAACATCGCTAAACGGAGTGCAAGATCGTTCGTAAAACCTCATCGTTAAGCGAATACATCGTTAAACGAGGCAATCGCTAAGCGAGGCACCACTGTAATAATAATTGTGTCCTCTCAAATTGTTTCTGACTTTTTGTGACCATTTCCAGTTTTTACTAGCTATAGAGTACTTAGAAGTAGTTTGCCCTTGTCTTCTTCTGGGGGTGCTCTGGGACTATGCTGCTTGTTGAAGGCTACACAGGCTGGCTTTACTCACAGGGAGCCCACTGGAGAATTCAATATCCAACCTTTGATTCTGCATCCAGGAATTCAGTCTGGTGAGCGATTTAGCCAGCTCTGGCACAGATTATCTACGTGCCTTACAACTATTCTAATTAATATATTTTACCCAAAATAAAGCCCACCGGCAACCCCTATACAGTACTTTGTTTACAAGCTCATTAACACTTCCAGGAGGCTCCCTGAACAGTTATTACCATTGCTAAAGAATAAGAAAAATGAGGCTTTGTGGAGAGCAGTTTCCAGTCATGGGGTGTGGCAGTGGGAGACCCTTTGATGCATTGCTGAACAAGCATCATTCATGCATTATGTTATTTGCTATTCGCAAGAAGTCAAAACAAAGAACTAGTAATGTGTTACTCATGAAACAAACAGCAAGCAAGTGATGTGTTAAAATATTTAAACATTTTCCATGCTTTGTATTAAAGATAAATTTCTTGAGCATTCAGAAATGCAAGTTTTGGCAAAGAAGAATCAACAGGGCTCTTGTAAACGCAGATCCCATCTTACCATTTTTTAAAAAACATATCAAAGGCCAGGATCCTTTTGTATACACCCACTGGCATACATCTGCAGGTACAAATCTCAGCAGCAAATTGCAGTCATGGTTGTATTTCCTGTTGCATAGGAATCATGTGCTTTGGCTTACAATAGGAAATATAATCACTGACTTCTGAACTAGTGATAATTTACTACTGAAATCTACACTGATGAACCTAAGTATAATTTTTCTACTGGATTCTTGCCATTAAAAAATAATTCAGGATGTTCCTCTGGCCGCTATTTATCTGGACTTTCAAAAAACAAAACAAAACAAAACCTGAAAAATCACGACCCCCAGTATTCCTGCACATGTGTTGCTGTAAGGCATTATCCCCTGACCCTGGAATAAGACACGAGAAAACCATTATGGAATAAAACATGGGCCACACTGTATTAAATTCCATATTCATCATCAAGAAAAAGGGTCTCAATGGAGCCCTACCAAACTATGGGTGAGTCCCAAGCCCCAAGATCTCGCAGTCATGTTGAAGAGGAAGGGGCCCAAGGTAGGAGGACCTCTTCCTTAAATACTCTGCTTGTCAGATGCCCGGATGCTTCATCCAGACCCATATGTTTCGTGCTGTCCTGGGCAGGGGGATAATGGTGTCCTGCGCCGATGCAGTAAGCGCCAGTGGACCAGGCTCTTGTGTAGATTAGTCCTTAGTTTAAGAATATGAAGTAGGCATAAATGGTCAGTTCATGTAAAGAAGAAATGTCACCAATAGGATTCCACAACCATCTGCATTAGGACGGTTGCCTGTTCATATAGGATCTGGATCTAAAGATCAAGATATCAAAATTCTTTATATTTTGAACAAAAAGACCTCCAAAAAGGTCTTTTCAGATATGGAGAAAGGCCTATGAAAAGGCAGTCAAGTGTAAACTGATGAACTTTGGGACAAAACATCTAAACTCCAGGTCACAACTGGAAGCAACTGATCAGGAAAGGTCATCTTTGAATTGTGATTGGAAATTCGTTATAAGATTGTTCTAGCATGTAAGCTGATGTGAAAAAGGCATTTTTCATTGTTAGAGATTATAAATAATTTCTTTTAAAAAATACTAAAATCCCAATGCCTTTCTATAAAATCTGTACTACTGTACTACCCTTGGAATATTGTGTACAGTGCTCATCACCACAACCTAAAACAGATACTGGAAAACTGGGAAAGGTGCAGAAAGGTAAAGGTTCCCCTTGACATTTAGTCCAGTCATTTCCAACTCTAGGGTGTGGTGATTATCCCCGTCTCCAAGCAGTACAGCCCATGTTTGTCTGAAGACAGTTTCCGTGATCATGTGGCCAGTGCAACTAGTCAGGAATGCCGTTACCTTCCCACCGAGGTAGTACCTATTTATCTAGTTGTATTTTTACATGCTTTTGAACTGCTAAGTTGACAGGAGCTGAGAAAAGCAACAGGAGCTCACTCTGTTATGTGGATTCGATCTTATGACTGCTGGTCTTCTGACCTTGCAGCACAGAAGCTTCTGGAGTTTAACCTGCAACACCACCACATCCCTAACCTTCTGAAAGGTGCAGAAAAGAGCAACATAAATAATTGAGGGACTAGTGTGATCTTCTTACAAGGAAAAAGCCCTAAATGGTTTAGGGCCTCGATACCTTACAAGGAAAAATAACATTTGGGGCTTGAAGAAAACCTTGTATTGTGTGCAAAACACAAAGTTCTTAAATAAACACCACTATTCTAAAATGCCTGATATTAAAATATTGTTCTTTTCACTCCCTTGTGAAAGCAAAAAATCTCACAGCAGTTTTTTTAAAAGGTGTTCACACACTCTTTTTCATCAAGAATGAGAAAAATTGTAAATATTGGTTACCAGTAAGGATATGCCTGACTCTCCCCCTGCTCCATGCCAAACTCCACACTTTAATTTTGGGAGTCTCGCCTAACAGACAGACACCTACAGATCCTAAATGCAGTTCACTTGGAAGAAAAGCCTAAGCTGGAAAGCTTCATAGCCTTGCATAGGGCTAGGTCTCTCTAGCTTTCTGTTCAAAAGGAAGATCCCAGCATGCATCTGATGCAGATACACAAGATCCTGAAAAGGCTTCTGAAACTGAAACCCAGGGAGCTTTATGGAAGATGACTTCAATAATTTCTTGGGATTTTAAAAACAAACTGGCGAGACATATTATTTATCAATGTGTTGCATGCTGTCAAGTTGCATCCAAATTACAGCAAGCTTAATAGGGCTTTCAAAGTACCATATTTTCCATGTATAAGACTATACTTTGTCTAAAATCTTTAGACTAAAAATTGAGGGTCGTCTTATACATGGAAGTAAGCTGAGGGGAGAAAAAACCAAGTGGAGGGGAAAGCAGGGATCAAAGCGCTGCAGGATGGCTTTGACCCTTGCTTTCCCCTCTGTTTATGAAGTCCCATGGGGCTTAGCAAAAGTAGAGGGAAAGAATCAAAGCAATCCCATGGCTGCATAAGGGGGAAAGGGATCAAAATGATCATGCAGTCACGGGAAAGCTTTGATCCCTTTCCTCCTCCTTTTGCTAAGCTCCATGAGGCTTAGCATGAAGGGAAAAAGCAGGGATCAAAGCGATCCTGCAGTGCTTTGATCCCTTTCCCCCTTCACTTGCTAAACCCTACTTAGATTTCTTAATTTTTTAGAAAAGTGGGGGGTGTCTTCTACATGGAAATATATGGTAATTAAAGTATTTAAGGGGTGGTTTTGTCAGTGAGATCTCCACACCCCCCAGTGAATTTCCAAGGTCAAGTGGGGACTTGAACCCATATCTCCTCAGTTCTATCCCGTCATTCTGTCTGCTACACTACACTGGATACAGTAGCTTAGCAATACTGATACACATTTCAGAAGCATAAAATTCTCTGGGATGGGGGGCGGCGGGGAACAGGCCAGATATAAATGTAAAAAATCTTGTACAGATAGACATTTCATTAAAAAAACAACACCCTATCTACCTGTTCAGGGAACCTGAAGGGTATGCCACCCAAAATATACTCAATTACAGATTTATAGCTGAAATAGTAGTGACCTGCAGCTAAGACAGCTCTGTAGGGTCATGAATCATCCACCAGTGGGGGAAGAGAGCCTTTTGACAGAAGTGACATAATCCTACTGCTTGCAAGATGTACAGACAGCCAACAGCTCTGACTGCTTTAAACAAGAATTAGACAAATTCATAGCAGATAAGGCTATTATTGGCTTTAAGACAGGCTCAGTATATTCTGTCCTCATTATCAGAGGTAGTAAGTCTCTCTGAATATCAATTACTGGGAAAAAAAACAAGCAGGAAGGATTTATTGCACTCATACTCTTGCTTCTGGTGTTCCCACAAGCACCTAGTTGATCACTGTGGGAACAGAGGGTTGGACTAGATAGCTCTTTGGTGTGATCCAGCATGGCTTGGTTTGTGAAAAGGTTTATGATCTGAAGAGTCATCTTTGTTGTTCATATCATGTGTGCACTATCTGAAATTAAATAAAAGTCACAGAAACTTAGGTAGACAGCTATCTCCCATAATCTCAGTGCTTAAGGCCACTACCCTTACATATATGACAACAAATGTAAAGAAAATGACTACAGTGTTACCAGACCCCTCCCATATTTTGAAGGTTTTGTTACAATTTAGCATGTGATATATATCTGCTTCAGGAATCAAAGTGTAAACTTGATTACCAGGAAACTGCTAATAACTTATTAAAATCTGAAATGAAAACTTTGAAAACGAAGCCACGGCATACAGACTGAAAATAGGAAGAGAGGGGGGAAATATTTGAACAGGCTACTGCCTTAATAAGATGGTATATTTGTCCTCCATAAGGCAAGAACCTGTGGGACTCCAAGGTAGAATAATATTTAAACCTTTTCATGACCATGGGATATCACTCAGATCCAAATCAATATTCCATTCGGTGGTCTGTTTGAGAAATGCCCTTATTTTATTACAACAAACAACAGCTATGATTTTTCCCCCAAAGAAAAGATTAAAAAGCCTTACTTTCCAAGGGCAAAACATTCCAGTGTAATAGATGAGCTTTTTGCCACCAGTGTTGTTTCCGGAAAACGCACTTCAATCTTTGGCTCATACTCCCCCATCACACCTGTTGGACATCAGAACAGTGAGCTTTCCAATTGTCCTTTAGACTTGTCTACAGCAGAAGATTAGTGCAACTTAGAAAATGGTACCCTTCCTTGTTCCCATGGAAACTAACTGCCTTCCAGTGAGATCAAGGGTGGGCCACCTGAGTAACATCTAATATGTAGTCTGCAAATCAAATCACACCAGTAAGGTCAGCACTTAGCAGATGATGGACAGCACGTTAATGTCTTTCTTTGAAATATTCTTAAAGGGTGACTTCTTTTATAGAATGAAATCCGGCCCTAAAACCAGATGTGTCATAAAGAAATTGGAGACATATCCCACCAAATTTAAAAGCATGGTCTCTTAATTCCAACATAAAATAAATTCTGGAAAAGGCAAAATGGAAGCAGTTCTCAAAATACTCAGTTTCATCTGGATGCACGGGTAGGAAAGTCCTAAATGGAAGGCTGCCACTGAGAATGCTTGAAGAGTGCACGGTTGTACATGTTGCAATGTAAAGGAGCAACTTGGGTTTATGAAATAGCCATTGTCCACTAATCATGAAAGGCAGGGCTGTCATTAACTGACACAAAATTTCCCAGTGGGGAAATTGAAGCATTTAGTGACAAACGATAAAGTGAGGTAATATTAAGTATATTAGAAGATAAACCCTAAAGGTTTAGCCATTCCATGTCCATCTGTTCAGAACTATAGTCCATTGACTTCAATAAGTGGATATATTATAGGCTAAGGATATTTGTCCAGTGAAAATACTGTACTTAGAGATTAGAGGAGGACTTAGTTGTCTACTTAATATGAGTGTTTAGAAGCCTGCTAGGATCTTAAACTAATCAGTAGCCAGGCCTTTAGAAAAAGGATGAGATAACCAGCATCCCAGCCCTCCTTTGTAATTTTCGACACATGGAGAGGGACAGCCTGAAGAAGAAATATAAATGCTGTCTCTCCACACAAGTGGGGGACCTTCAAAAGCAGGGTTCTCAATAACATGACAAGAAGATGCTCCCCTTTTATGTTATCCCTTTCTCCCTCCTCATGTGTTCAGACTCACCATCTTCTGAGGTCTAAATAGCATTCTAAGATAAATTGAATTCAGGTAAATCAATCTTATAACCTAGCTCCCGATCCCAAAAATGCTTTGTCTCTTTCCCATACATATGCCATTATACATATCATTTATTCTCTCTAAGGATCCCAGGATTCTTTTTATAATATGGGAATATAATTTTTTTTCCTATTCATATTGCTAATTCATTGGAACATTTATGAGTGCACTGTGAGGGGCTATTGGTGGGAGAAGCAATCCCATTTTAAAAACCCTTTGCTAATGGATTTCTCAACTATGTATTTTCAACTGTGAACATTTAATTAAAGAGCTTCCTTTTAAAGGAAGCCTTTCACTTCAGTGACTAAACTGGATTAGGTCTAGCTTTCTGCTTCTTAGATTTGAACAATGGAAGCCTGTCAGATCTGAATTTGAACATTTTTGGATGTATAACATTAGTATGGGTTTAAAATTCATTCCAGCATGTCTGTTTTGATTGCAATGCATTTGGTATATGGAGATGACATATCTTCAGTCCTCACTGTGAACACACACTGGTCAAACAGCTGTGTGCTCTTCCCAGGACACCCTTGGGATGTTAATTCTGCAATGCAGAGAGACTAGACATCTTGACATAGGATTTCTAGAACCTTATCAATTTGGGGTTCCCACATACTCTAAGACAATCACAAATGATTCATATATAAATGTTGTAGTGCATACCCCTTTATTCATTCACTCAGTTTCATAAAACTAAGGCATAAATCAAACATAAATGGAAAATGAGTCCACAGGGACTCCAGTGAACACTAGGTCTGCCTACTGTCTTATAGCAACTATTTTCTGCTTCCAAAATAAAATGTCATTATCACATCCACATTGAGTTTAAGGCATTAAAATCCACATACCATCACTACGGAGCACAAGTGGTGTGGGTGGGCCCTGTACACTTTGTTTTGCTTCTGTGTTTGTGACAACACAGGTGTAGTTGCCCACATCCAAAGGTTCCACTTTTGCGATGTATAGATTCCCTGTCTCTTGAGATACAAATTGACGACCGTCCTCCTGAACATATAAGGGATTATCATTGAAAATCCAAGCATAGGATAAATCTGGAAAACATCAAACACTCATTACACATATTTTCCCACAGCACCCTGAGAGACAGCACTACTGGAAGACAGGGTTTTAAGGTATATCAGTTATCTCGGTGGTTTTGATTTCTGTTAAAAGTGCTGCACATTAAATAAATACAAAACCTTATGTTAGATAATAAAGTGGTGCAGATAACAATTTCCCCCCTTCTCTCCATTTCCATCTTCCTATGACAAATGTTTTCTTTTCTTTAAATGACAGTTAAAATGCTGGAATGTGGCAGGTTATGTGTACAGCAAGAAATATTTGTGTTTTCCTCTCTTTTCATTTGACTGATGCAGTGAGAATGGACTACAATTATGGGGGAAAAATAGATGCCATGATCTTACTCTGGTAAATCACAGATGCTTTAAAAATCTAAGTAGGCAACTGCCTGGGAAGGAAAGGGGGCAATTTTGCATTTTTCTGAATGCAAAAGCAGTAATAGTTCCAGCCATTGTACAAAACACAATGTATTTTGTTCAGTGGAGACAGTTTGCTCTCCTGACAACACTCTTGACTCTAGCACTCTTGAGTGGTGTCAAGTTTATCAGGATCAAGTGATACACATCAACTTTCAAATCAGCACTGGGGATAAAGAAGAGAGCAGTTCAGAAGCAAGGTAGTGGATAGAATCCCTTGTTTTCCTTCCCCCTTCTTAGGAATTGTATTGGAATGAAGCTGGTTTAGGCTGAATAGCAGGAACAACAACTTCACCTATACAGAGGGTACAATGGGACAGCTGTGCATTTAAAAATAAAGCTGATTATACTATTTGTATGTAACAACAGAGTTATAATTAGGTCTTATGAAGTGTAATATTGCAAGTGGGTGAATTCCACAAGTGTCTGAAAGCCCCCGCATCTATTCTTCTAATTCTAAATAGCCTTTCTTCACATTTCTTTGGAACTAGGTCAGAAAGTCTGGCTAAGTTCACCTTTCCCCTATTTTGGCTTGTTGCTTTGGAGTGATTTCATCTGAACAACTCATATATAAATAGTGTATCTAAATATGGCAGTCTTTTGCACTCCTTAATTTGGCACACCCCTGTGTGAAACCAAAAGTATAAGATAACAGTTGACTGGGTACTTAGAATTCCGACACAAACATCATCTATTTAGAAAGGGCACATTTTTAATAGCTCTTTGTTTGCACAACACAGTTGCCTAGAGCATCTTATGGAAATCACAATACCAATTTGCATGTGAAAACAAAGGCAAACCAAAGCAGATAGAATAGACCCAGTATGCTGCCTCAATTAGTCAGTCACATCTTATTTTATTTATGGGATTGCAGTCTAAACAAAATGAACACATCTAGATTATATATATGTTATAGACTGTCAAATCTATGTATGTATGTACGTACGTACGTACGTATGTATGTATGTATGTATGTATGTATGTATGTATGTATGTACGTACGTACGTACGTACGTACGTTCCTATCTATCTATCTATCTATCTATCTATCTATCTATCTATCTGTCTGTCTGTCTGTCTGTCTGTCTGTCTGTCTGTCTGTCTGTCTATCTATCTATCTATCTATCTATCTATCTATCTATCTATCTATCTATCTATCTATCTATCTATCTATCTATCTTCTCCAGTCACACTCTAAGAACCAAGAACTAGTTACTTAATGTGGACACAATGTACAGCAGTCTGCATTAAGCATGGACATTTTAATTCAGTTTGAAATTTTCACTATATATATTTTTAATGGTGTCACATATACCATGTGTCACACATACTATGTGTCATGCCACACAATCTGCCCAGCTGGCTAGTTACGCAGTTGCTGCCTCCTGCCCTGTGGATAGAGAATGAGATAGCATACATGGACTTCAGGAATGGATCCTGGACAGATATTCTCCTCAGTTTAAAAGCTTCCCTCTCAAGGTGCCCCAAGCACTTTGGAATGATGCTTCTCACTCCGTTTCTCTCTTTAACATTTATGTGCTTTGAGACTAGGACTATACCTCTCCTAACTGTTCTCTGTCCTCTTGCTTTGTTTCCCGGCAGCTGCCTCCCTCAGGTTTCGGTAGCTCACCTTCTTTCTTATTCCCTTGCTGTTTTGACCTGTCTGACTCATTGCCCTTCTCTTCGCTGACTTCCTTTCACCTTCTGTCACACTTGTTCCTTCCTTTTGTCTGGAGTGTGACAACTGACTGTGTAGGAGCTCTTTCCTGTCCTACTTTGCCAGTGGCAGGAGTAGCATGGAAATAGTATTTTTTAATAAAACATAGTAAATCAGAAGTTTTGAAAACCTAACCTTTAGCATCCCTTAATTAAATGTTTAATTCATGAGCTCCAAACTTTCTGCCAACAAATTCATTTTTTAAAAAAAGGATTCTGCTTTCTCCCCATCCCAGCTCCTTGCTGTCATCAATTGCCATTTCTGAAACATTATTTATTTTTCAGTTACAACATCTGCATGGGATGATCATGAATCTGTAAAAAGTGGTGGTTTCTGTGTGTCTTTTATCCTGTAAACATTATGTGACTATAATTAGGAACAGTAAATAATATTGTATGACTATAACTAAAAACAGTGTGTCATTCAGGATCTATCAAAAGATGCATCACATGTGAAAGCATTTTTCCTCTTTCTGGTATGATACACAGTTAGGGAGTTAATGAAATCTAGCAAGAGGAAACTCAACATCAAAAAAACTAAGATCATGGCCACTGGTCCCATCACCTCCTGGGAAATAGAAGGGGAAGATATGGAGGCAGTGACAGATTTTATTTTCCTGGGCTCCATGATCACTGCAGATGGAGACAGCAGCCCTGAAATTAAAAGACGCCTGCTTCTTGGGAGGAAAGCAATGACAAATCTTGACAGCATCTTAAAAAGCAGAGACATCACCTTGCCAACAAAAGTCCGAATAGTCAAAGCTATGGTTTTTCCTGTCGTGATGTATGGAAGTGAGAGCTGGACCATAAAGAAAGCAGACCGCCGAAGAATTGATGCCTTTGAATTGTGGTGCTGGAGGAGACTCTTGAGAATCCCCTGGACTGCAAGGAGAACAAACCTATCAATTCTAAAGGAAATCAACCCTGAGTGCTCACTGGAAGGACAGATCCTGAAACTGAGGCTCCAGTACTTTGGCCATCTAATGAGAAGAAAAGACTCCCTGGAAAAGACCCTGATGTTGGGAAAGTGTGATGGCAAGAGGAGAAGGGGACGACCGAGGATGAGATGGCTGGACAGTGTCATCAAAGTGACCAACATGAATTTGACCCAACTCCGGGAGGCAGTAGAAGATAGGAGGGCCTGGCGTGCTCTGGTCCATGGGGTCATGAAGAGTCGGACATGACTAAACGACTAAACAACGACGAGCAAGAAGAAATTTAGGAAGTGATGCTAAAAGCATTTGTGGCTGCAGATTAAAACAAGGTTCAAACAGTGAGTGCTGAAATATGCCAACATTCCTGGCTGAAAGTCTGGGCGCAAAGCCAATGTGGAACAGGGCAAGTAGCTGCCCCACCGGCACATGAATCACCTCTACCAAATTTTCCTTCCCCCTTCCCAAACCTACACTAGCCTCATCTACTTTCTTCATTTGGAATTAAAGGGTGCTGACACTGCTGTGGGATCCCATGACCTTGAACTGCTATACAATATGCAGCAAATTTTAACTCTATTAAAATCAATGGAGACCTCCATGTTCTATGGATTTTAATGGACACATTTTAAATGTGCTGATTGCATCGAAATGGCTGTTGGAGGGCAAGAAGAGTCAAGAGGTCTTTTGGATGGGTTGCTTTGTGCCCCTCCCAGCCAGTTCAATTCGTGCTTCTAAATGAACGGAGGGGAGGCAAAACTTGCTGTTTATGGTTTTTCAGAGGGCTGTCTGATTTTGCACTCTTTGGGAACATGGAGCTGGTTGGGGTGTTGCAATCATTTGTAATACATGATAAGGGCATGGGATTTATGAAGAGTTTCTAGAAATCAATATAACACATGATTGCATACTAATTAGAAGGTTTCTGAAAGACTAGCTGTGTTCGTTTGACTCAGCATATCAGGAAAATGAACGTGGAAAAAAGTGGGGGAGAAAAACAAAGACGAAATATCATGTCACATTAAAGACTAACAAGCTAGTTTCAGTGTGAGCTTTTGTGACTCAGAATCCAGTTTGTCTGAAAGACCGAATTTTGATTCACAAAAAAGGAGTCACATTATTTTCTTCTTTCTTTTCTCCGCTCATCTCTTTTTCCCTTTCCCTTTGCCAACATTCATTTAAAAATGTCTGGCGTTACAAATCCTATGACTAGGATTGCAATCCTACCCATTTAACTAGGTTTCACCCAAATTTTAGAAATGGTGTGTGGTGCTCATTTACCCCATCAACTGGCTGGTGTTTCACAAGTTCATTTTTTAAAAAGTAAGCCCTATTAGGATGTGAAAAAAAAATAAGGAAAAGCATGTAGTCACTGTTTTAGCAAACTGATTTGTATCAAACAAACATTTTGATGTAAGAAGCCAATGAATATATAGCACACTTTGACAGGATTTTATCGATGATGCACAAAAACATATCCTCTAGTGAGGGAGTTTGGCAATTGTGGGGAAGCTTTGTTGAAATCTGTTGGCAGAACTGCCTACAAACAACACATAGAAAACATGATGCTTTAGGAAGGAATACTGCCTGGGAAATTATGGGAGCTATAGTGTTCTTTTTTTTCCTGAAAGAAACTTTTTCAAGCCTTAACATCATGCATCTCTCTACATCACTTTGATTGATGGGGATTAGACTCTATCATCCTTGGGGGCCCCTTCCAGCACTACAATTCTATAATGTTATGAACATATGATTCTTTTGCCCTTCCAGAAAAAAAATGAAGTTGAGTTTTGTCTTCCATATGCTTCTGGGAGCTTAGCGGGGTGCTGCCTTGAGGAAAAAAAGAGCTAGGAGAAACCCAAGAGAAGGAGGAAAAAGGGGAGCATAAATTATTAAAAGATTTTGCAT